ACCCTAATAGTATAATACTTGTAAAACAATATAAATAAATGATGAAATATTGCTTTATTGTACTATCACTATTCTTTCTAAATTTTACATTTTTTTTCACTATGCCTTCTAATTATATAGTCAAGAAAATGTGAAGCAGATTTAGTAATGCTTAGCGTAAAGAAATATGCAAGTATTTTAAAATCTACCAATAGCTAGACACCAAGATATTGCCAATGAGTTCGTAAGAAAGTATTTCATACTAAGCCTCGACAGGTTAATTATCACTAAGATTTTGAACAAAAGTGATCAATATCTTTATCTTGAAGAAAGTGTTGTAGTACAAAATTGGTACAAAATAAGCCACCAAAGTTTTCTTTGCTTGAGACAATGATAACGATTTGGATGAACCAAGTTACTGCTGCTGGTATGGTCCTTATAGATGATTTGGTAAAACTAAAAGGTTGCAAATTTAGTAATCAGCTTGGCATTTCTGAAAATGATCATAAGTTCTCAAACAGGTGGATTACGAACTTTAAGAAATGAAATTCTCTGTGCCAATACAAATTTAGTAGGGAGCTGCGAGTGCGCTGTTAGAAACTTTAGCAAATGAGAGAATTAAGCTAAGACAACGTCTCTTTCAATATGACCTTAAAAATATTTATAATGCTGACGAAACTAGGTTGTTTTATTGAATGCTACTGCATCAAACATTAGCAAGACAAATGGTTGCTAATAAAAAACAGGTAAGAAATATAGTCTTTATTTCTAAATAATATTAGTAATTAATATATATATTACTGTTTTACCTTAGGATAAATCACAGCTTACTGTGTTGTTGGCCTCAAATGCAACTGGTTCTTATAAATTTCAGCCACTAATTATTGGTAAATTAGCAAAACCACAGTCTTTTAATAGTATAAGAATATTGTAACTTCTAGTTATATATAAAAATAACAAGCATGCATAGATGAGGTCTGACATTTGGAAAGATTGGTTAAAATTTCATGATAAAGGGTTTTGTATTTAAAACAAAAAAGTCTTGTTTATTGTAGATAATGCCAGAACTTATAGTACACCTGCTGCATCTACGTCTTCAAATAATATTGATAACAATAACAACCAAGGGACTAAAGAAGATTATTTAGATTATGATGAGGTTTCTGAAACTAGTGCTCTTGAAAATAATGATCAGTCTGATTTACAGTCATATGAAAATTAACACGGACAATCTTGCGGATGATCTCGCAAACAACCTCATGAAAGACCTCGCGAAAGACCAACAATTTCGTATAGAACGTCTAATAAAAAAATGAAAAAAAAGACAAAATTTCACTACCAGCAAACTATTAAAGTTTACAAACATTATACTGTATTATCTATTACCTAATATAACTGTGCATCTTCAACCTATGGATGCTAGAATAATAAAGTCATTTAAATCTAATATAAAAACCTTTACTGCAAGCATGTTCTTAAGCAATTTGAGTCTAATATCGATTTGGAAGAGTTAGTAAAATTTTTATTTATGCAGCTAAAATGAAATCAGATTAAAATGAAATATTGTAGTATAAAAAAAATAGACAAGCTACTGAAAAATAAAATTTTTAAAGTATATTATTTAGAGGTTATACTACAGAATTCTGATACTCAAAATCCCAACACTTAAAACCTGACAATATAATCCCAAAATGCAAAATTCCAACAAATTAAAATCTCAACAGCATTAAAATTCTGACATTTAAAATTCTGACATTCAAAATCTTGACACTTTCAAAAACTCAACAGAATTAAAATTTTAGCTTGAGATTTTAATTCTGTTAAGATTTTGTAAATATCGGGATTTTAAATATCAGGATTTTGAATGTCAGGATTTTAATGCTGTCAGGATTTTAATTTGTCAGGATTTTGTATTTTGAGATTATATTGTCAGAATTTTAAGCATCAGGATTTTAAGTGTCAGAATTCTGTAGTATAATCTTTTTTAGAGATTAGAGTTAGAGGTTAGTTTTAAGGTAGAGTTTATAATAAACAAGTATAAGTGAGTTTAGGAGGTTAATATTTTATTTTAATCTAATTTTATTATAATTCACAGTATTTATTTATTTATTTAATTCCTATAGGAATAAGTTAAATGTAAAGCAAACAATCCAATTTATTGCAGACTTATGGCATAACATAACCGATACAACCATTTAAAATTGCTGGCGTGTGACAGGATCCTTTCGGATACAAGTAAAATAGAAGTAGAATATGAGGATCAAAGATCTGAGGATGATTTTATTTTAAATGAGAATGATGAAGTTGCAGAAATTATTTCTGATCTGTCATTAAACAATGATTCTGAAGCCTCTAAAATAGCTCAGGCTATGAAAAGATATATTTAAATTATTAATGAACCCATTGCTACAGAAGGGGTACTCAATAATAATGAAATAATTACTAAGGTTCAGGCTGAAGAAAATAATCAAGAACAGGAAAGTGACAATGATGATGAAGAGCTATCTCCTCCACCCATAATAGCTAAAGAGGTATATAATACAACCAGGGTTGACAAATAGACCAATTTGACCAATTTGACCAATTTTTTAGCTATTATTAAAAATTGTTAAATTATTATTA